GAGCCCGATGCGGGGCTCGATCCCAGGACCCTGGGATCATGACCTGAGCCGAAGGCAGACGCTTAACGACTGAGCCACCCAGGCGCCCCAAGAATGTTTTTAAACTATCTTAAAAATGCACAAGGAGAAGTGCCAGGATGGCTCAGTCAGTTAAGCATCCAGCTCTTGATTTTTGCTCAGGTTGTCATGGGATCGAGCCCTGCAACAGGTTCTGTGCTCAGCACAGAGTCGGCTTGGGATTCTCTCTCTCCCTCTGCTCTTGCACCTCCCTCCTGTTCATGTGTGCACATGTGTGCACACACACACGCTCTCTAAAATAAGTAAATAAATCTTTTTAAAAAAATGCACAAGGAACTATAAGAGAACAGAGAGAGAAATGACTAACTGAAGCATGAAAATGATGCATGAACAAAATGAGAATATTAAAAAACTATTAGGAAGAATCAAACATATTCTGGAGCTGAAAAGTATAATAACTGAATTGAAAAATTCACTAGAGGGATTCAACAGCAGACTTGACAGGCAGAAGAAAACAGTCTATGAACCTGAAGAAAGGTCATTTGAAGTCATTGAGACAGAGGAACAAAAAGAAAACATAAGAAAATTGAAGAGAGCCTAAAGGACTATGGGACATCATTAAGTGGACCATATATGCAGTATGGGAGTCCAAAGAGAAGAGAGAAAGGGGCAGAGAGCTTATTTGAAAAAATAATGACCCTGAACTTCCCAAATCTGTGGAAAAAAATGGACATACAATTTTATGAAGCTCAACTCCAATGAGGTTAAACCAGAGACCCACACCAAGACATGTTATAATCAAAGTGTCAAAAGTTAAAGACGGAATCTTGAAAACAGCAAGAAAAAAGTGACTCACCGTATACAAGAGAGCTTGTATAAGATTTTAGCAGATTCTCAGCAGAACCTTGCAAGTCAGAAGGCAATAGGTTGATATATTCAAAGTGCTGAAGGAAAAAAAAAAGCTATTAACCAAAAATACTATATCCGGCAAAACCATCCTTCAAAAATGAGGGAGAGCAGCAGGAGAGAAACAACACATCACATACAGGATCTCAGTAAGATAATCAGCAGATTTCTCATCAGGAATTTTGGAGGCCAGAAGGTAGTGGGCTGATATATTCAAAGTGCTAAAGAATAAAACTCAACCAAGGTTCCTTTATTCAACAAAATTATTTTTCAAAAATGAGACAGAAATAAAGACATCCCCAGATAAACAAAAGCTGAAGGAGCTCATTTCCACCAGCCCTGCCCAGCAAGAAAACCTAAAGGGAGTCCTGCAGAGTAAAATGAAACACTGAATAGTAACTTGAAGCCGTATGAAGAAATAAAGATGTCAGTAAAGGTAAATACATGGGCAATTATAAAAACTACTATTATTTTAACAACATTTTATAACATTTGATTTTGTATATGGTTAAGTGACTAACTCTAATACTAGTCTAAAAGCTAGTGTTATTATAATGTTGAAACTCCACATTTTGCTTTCTACATAATTTAAGATACTAATGCATTTAAAAGAACTATTAATTTCTTTTGTATGAAGATGTGGTTATGTGACATCAACAACCAAAAGGGTGACAGAGCTGTAAAGGAACAGTTTTTATATGTTATTGAGGTTAAGCTTGTATGAATTCAAATTAGAGTGTTATAACTTTAGAATATTAAATGCAATCACAATGGTAACCACAAAGACAACAGCTATAGAAATACACAAAAGGAAATGACAAAAGAATTTAAACTTTCACTCTAGAAAGTCAACTAAAGACAAAAGACAATGATGCAGGAAATAAAGAACAAAAAAGCTGTAAGGCATTTAGAAAACAAATAGCACAATGACAGAAGTGCATCCTTCCTTATCAGTAATTGCTGTAAATGTAAATAGATTAAACTCTCCAATCAAAAGACACAGATTGGCAGAATAGATAAAAACACATGATCCAACTACATGCTATTTACAAGAAACTCACTTTACATCCAAAGACACAAGTAGATTGAAAGTGAAAGAATGGGAACAGATATTCCATGAAAATAGTAACCAAAACAGCACAGGTGGCTGTACTAATATGAGACAAAATAAACTTTAAACCAGAAAATGTTACAAGAGACAAAGGAGGACATTATATATTAATTAAAATGTTCAATACAGCTATAAGATATAACAATCATAGATATTTATGTACCTAATGATAGACCATCAAGATATGAAGGAAAAACTGACAGAATTAAAGGGAAAAATACACAGTTCTATATTAATAATTGGAGACTTCAATACCCCACTCTCAATAATGAATAGAATAGCCAGAATAGAAGATAGGTAAGGAAAGAGAAAAAATTAAACAATGTAATAAACCAACCAGATCTAACAGTTATATGCAGAATATTCTACCCCCAACAGCATGCACCTTCTTCTTAGTGCACATGGTGCATATTCCAGGATAAAACCATATGTTAGGCCACTAATTAAGTCCCACTAGATTTTAAAAGATAGATATCATATAAAGTATCTTTATTCTATGAAACCAGCATCACCCTGATATTAAAGCCAGATACAGACACTAGAAGAAAACTGCAGACCAATATCCCTTATGAACACTGATGCAAAATCCCCAGCAAAATACTAGCAAACAAAATTCAACACCATATCATGTGGATTATACATCATAATCAAGTGGGATTTATCTGGGGATACAAGGATGTTTCAATATACAAAAATCAATCAATGAAATATACTACAATCAATGAAATATACT